CCACCAACGTCTAAAGAAAATTTGGACGATTTATCATGAGATTCTGCTAAAAAAAAACAATCCATATAATTCAAATCAAAAAGATGAGGTACGACGCAAGTATCTAGCTAGAGGTCCTTGTAAACCGTATGGTCATAATTTTCCAAAAAATATGATTTCAAATTCTTTGAGGCGGTTTAGTCTTGCTTAGTTTGATCAGTATGGTAATTGGTTTGAGTACAGCGTAACGACAGATAGAGCTTATTGTTTGTGTTGTTACTTTTTTCGAGATGATATACATAAGCAAGGTGGAAATGATAAGTTTGTGACTGAAGGTTTTTCTAGTTGGAATAAGTCTGGGAGATTAGCTTCTCATGTGGGTGGTATGAATATCTATCACATGCAATACTGCTGTTAAGATGTGTGATTTTTTGATGAATCAAAAACATTCCATTGCCCAAGCTTTTAATAAGCATGATGATGTCGTGAAAAACGAATACCGTCTTCGGTTGAATGCTTCAGTTGATGCTTTTAGATATTTGCTGCAACAAGGAATACCTTTTTGTGCTCATGATGAATCAGAAGATGCTGGTAATAAAAGGAATTTTCTGGAACTTATAAGATACAATGCATACCAGAACGAAGCGGTAAGTAAGGTTGTTTTGGAGAATGCTCCAAAAAAATAACCAAATGACTTCTCCACCAATTCAGAAAGACATCGTGCATTGTTTTGCCAAAGAAGTTGTGAAATCTGTTATTGAAGAAGCTGATCATGGTGTTTTTGGTCTATTGGTGGATGAATCTGCTGATATTTCTCACAGGGAACAAATGGCTGTTGTGTTACATTTTGTCGATAAGAATGGAACAATGAAAGAAAGACTTATTGGTGTGGTTCATGTAAAAGAAACTTCTTCTTTGACACTTAAGCTAGCTATTGATGGTTTGTTTGCTAAGTATGGCTTGAGCATGAAAAATGTAAGGGGCCAAGGTTATGATGGAGCGAGTAATATGAAAGGTGAATTCAATGGTCTGCAGTCTTTGGTTTTAAGGGAAAAAAGTTCAAGCTATTATGTTCATTGCTTTTCTCATCAGCTTCAGTTGGTAGTAGTGGTAGTCGCGAAGAAACATTTTGAAGTTGGTGATTTTTTTGAGATGATTTCTACATTATTGAATGTAGTTGGGGCTTATTGCAAACGACAAGATGAACTTAAAGAAAGATACCGTAAGGAAATCGAGAAAGGAATTAGCAGTGGTGAAATTAGCACCGGAAAAGGGCATAATTAAGAGCGTTCTCTTTCAAGGCCATCAAATACTCGTTGGGGTTCTCATCATATAAGACATTAGTGTGTTTGGTCAAGTTGTTTTCAATTGTTATTGAGGTGCTTGAATATATCCAGAATGAAGGTCTTGATGACTCAAAGAAACGAAAAGCATATGGTCTTATTAAGTACTTGTGTGCTTTTGATTTTGTCTTCTATGTGCAATTGATGCTGCTTATTTTGGGACTAACGGAAAAATTATCCATGGATTTGCAACAAAAAAATCAAGACATTCTGAATATTGTTTCATTGGTCCAATCAACTAAGCGAGCATTATAGAAACTTAGAGATGATGGATGGACTCTCTCATGGTTAGAGTTTCTTTGTTTTGTAAGAAACATGATATTGAAATGATCATGATGGAAGACAATTTGTTGGTTCTGGGATGGGACGAAAGAAAAGCAACATAACCAATTTACATCATTATAAGACAGTTGTTTCAATGTTGTTCTGGATCTGCAGCTGCAAGAGTTCATGTGAGATAACAAACTAAGTCCCACATTGAAGAATTAGACAAGGAGAGTCTAATATATAAAGAGAAGTCCAACTCTAATAGTAAGAGGCCTTTTGGAAAGTAAACCAAAAGTAAATCCATGCGGACCATCCTCTAAGGTCCAAAGTGGACAATATCGTACTAATATGAAAATATAGAGTTGGACATGGGCTTTCACAATTCCAACAATTGGTATCAGAGCGGTTGACGAGAATTCTGTAAGAAGACCAAAATACCCTTCAAGAGATGAGTGGGTATCATTCGAGTTAGGAATGAGAGGGGTGTGTGGCAGAGTTCGCGTCAAAAAGATCCTGGAAGTCAGTTGTGGGACACGAGATGAATATGATGCTTAGTTTGAGGGGGAGAATGTGAGATAACAAACTAAATCCCACATTAGGGAATTAGACAAGGAGAGTCTAATATATAAAGAGAAGTACAACTCTAATAGTACGAAGCTTTTTGGAAAAAGAAACCAAAAGTAAATCCATGCGGGCCAGCCTCTAAGGCCCAAAGTGGACAATATCGTACTAATATGAAAATATAGAGTTGGACATGGGCTTTCACAATTCCAACAGTTCAATGATCGTTTTACTGAGGTAAACACCCAACTTCTTATTTGTATGGCTTCTTTAAGTCCTACAAAATCGTTCAAGTTGTTTGACAAAGAGAAGTTGATAAAGTTGGTTGAGTTCTATCAAGATGATTTTAGTTTTTTGAGCGTTCTTCTCTTGAGCAGTAACTTGACATCTACATTGATAATATAAGCGAGGATGGCCGATTTAATAACTTGGAGAGTCTTGGAGATCTTTCTCGCTTGATGGTTGAAACACATAAACATCTTGCATATCCTCAGTTTACAGACTTTTGAAGTTAACACTAACTTTGTCGTAGCAACTGTTGAGAGATGTTTTTCTGCCATGAAGTTTGTGAAGACAGCTTCGCGCAACCGAAGTTGAGATCAATTTTCAAGTGATTGTCTTGTTTGCTTTATTGAAAAAGATTTATTTGCATCAATGACAAATGAAAAAGTGGTGAAAAAGTTTTAAACCATAGCTAAACGTAGAATATGCTTATAAACTTTTTTGTAAAACTATTTTAATTTAAGAGATTTTATATTTAATATCATATTTTAGTTTAATATTTATGCCCTCAACAAAATTATTTCTGTCTCCGCCATTGGTTTGATTCTTAAAGAACATGACAAATCTTTACAAGTGGAGTAGTTTGATAATAAGCTACAAGAGATAAGAAGTACAACGTGAGATAAAAAGCTCTCAAAGCTCGTGACTGAGAGTGGCCCGTGACGAGACACAAGTACAAAGTCTTCTTGTCCGTGACATAAGAAGCTCTCAATGCTCCTTTAAAATTTGTTCATACTTTTGTTTGAGTTCGTTTTCCCTCTCTGACTTCTTCTGAGCTCTCCTAACAAACCACTCCTTGTCGTCAAAGGTCCTTTACAAATGCCCATTGCAAAACGCTTATCCTGTCTTGTAGAATTGTTTCCTTTACCACTTCCATCTCTTGTTCTTCTGCATCCATTATGAATTTCAAGTGGTCCAGAAACTTCAACTTGCTTTTCATCTTCTTCAGCTGAAATTAAATAAAGACAAAGACGTGTCATGACACATACAAGAAACAGCAGAGAGTGGAAGGAGAAGACCCAAACATTCCCATTCTATTAATGTTTGAACTAACCAACATGTTGGTCTATTATACTCGCAGCTAACTCTTCCATCTCTCTTTCTTCTTGATCAGCCAGCATTTTTGCATGACCTGCTGCAGCTCCAAGAGCTGTTGCCACTGACGCTCTCATCCTTAAACCTACAGCTACAGGTATGTGTTGCAAATTAACAAGCCAAGAAAGCTCTTAAACCAGATCTTTTGTTCATGATGACAAGCAAGATAGTGTGTCATTACCAACTCTCACTGCTGAAGAAAATGAGCCATGAGATATCAAGAAGAATGGCGCAGAAAAGAAGAACGGAGTAGGTGCGGCCAAGACTCTGGCTATTTCTCTCGATTGCCACAAGCGCAAATAACGCAGTCGCCAAGTTGATCAGCAAAACTCCATTGTACAATGCTCCTAGTGAACCAATCATCGCGCACCCTATCTGTAACCAATTTGATAGCTAAGTTTCTTGCATTTCTCAATCACAGCAACATTATATAAATTCAAACCCTAGGCCCAAACAGATACGAATCATCCACGAGGAAAAGCGAGAATCAAAAGAAACGATACGAAACGATTACCTAAACGTAGATATGGATCACGATGATGGATTGGAGCCTCACATAGTCACGAAGCCAATTGTTTACTCGATTTCGCAACGAACCACAAAGCATCTTGAAATCTCCTCCTGGTTACTTGTCACTCCGATGTCGTCTCTTCATCTTCCGAACTCTCAAAATTGACATACTATCTCTCACTATGCCATATATCCTCCAAGACAGATCTCACAACAAGTAAATCTCAATTCAATTTTATAATAGTGCAAACAATCCTAGATTTAATCTTTACAATTACCATCTTGAGGAGTTGCGTAGTTAAAGTATCTGTAGCCAAGAGATCTCCTTGATAAATTCCTTTAGCAAGGATAATCATCAAGTATTAAATCATCAACATATAAATATCATAAGATTTAGCTGTGGACAGAAACAAGAGAAAACTTTATTATTTAATTCTTGATGATTAACCTTCCTAGCTAGCCAAAGAAGCAAAACTAAAATATTGCAGTTATCCTTAATCTTTTAATAACATGAGCGAATGTGAACAGAATAATGACTCATTTCTTTTTCATCAAGGCATTGAGAAAAGTGGACAGAAACATGGCAAACCCTGAAACTCAAATATTCCCCAAACAGGAAATATCCCATGACCTAGTTGTTACTTGGTTCATACGTCAACACTTTTGATATGCAAGTCAACCTAATGAATGCGTTAGTACTTAGTATAAATTATTGAAACTGTGTGATAGTTTATCCTAATTAACTTTTCCACATCCTAGAAATTGTATGTTCTATGATCAATCCCTTTTACAGAATTAAAAAGAGCTAGTTTTACAACCATTGTGGACATTTCAAGTCATGATTGTATTTTAAGAGTTCTCACAGGAACAGACCAGAACCAAACTCCCAAGTGCATTAAGATCTCAACAACATTAAACAACATCATCAAATGAGAGAGGAGCTTTTGCAGCCGACATCTTCACCTTTTCTTCCTCCACCAGAGCTTCCATGTCTGAACACTTCCGCTTCAAGTCCCTCAAATCTTCCTCCATTTCTTGCAGCCCAGATTGAGAAGCTTCCTCATTATTCTTCTTCTCTGCCACCTCATCAAGCTTCTTCTCCAACCAATCCAACTTAAATCCAGCATCTCTCATGAATCCCAGTGCAGCATGAGCATCAGACAGATCATCCTGGGAGAGCTCCTGCGGTGACTGGCACATAGTCTCAATCAGACTGAGTAGAAAACTTATGTATGCTGTCCTTAGATTTGGGTTCTTTGGACGGAACTCAGATGCAAGCTCTGAGTGTCTTTCAAACATACGGCTCACCGATCCTGCCTGTAAATAAACACCATTAAGGCACCATACTATGGATAACAAACATTATGTTATCTCTCGTGGCTTAAAATTCTACACACACTCACATGCAAAGGAAGAATCTGAAACCCATTAACATCCATTGTTTCTATTATTGTTGAAGTTTCCTCTGACACATCTAATTTGCCAATAACTTCAAGAACATCAATCTCAACAAATATTTTGAGATCTCCATTTACAAGAAATCCGGAATCTTTGGCGTGGAGCTCATTATGAGGCAAAATGGATTGACGACCCCAGCCGGGACTCTTCTGCTCAAACCACTGTTGTAATTCTGTAAAATCAGAAAACAAAAGTCATCTAATCAGTTCATTTGCATCGAATAAAGGACTAGCTCCTGTGGACATTGGAGCAAAAACAGCTAAAATACTAATCAAAACTACCCAATACAAGCTTTGGAATACATACAACTCAAGCCAAAATCCAATTCACCTCTATGTTTTCCTATTAAATTAAAACTCTTATCATAAAGATGAATTTTACTACAATATATGCCTATAGAAAAATCTTATCATACATGCATACATTGACGTATTTCAAAGCAAGCCTCTCAAACTTCTTTTTATCATATCTCTCCGCCTCCGGCCGTCGCATCTCCTTCCCGTCTCCTCATGATAGACCACGGAGGGCTTATACGAGAAAGAGCAGGACTCAGGCAGCAGAAAAATATGATTTTATTCAAGTGGAGAATAATAAATGAACTTGTTCTGACGTATACATAGAAGGAAGAATACTTTTATTTGTTTTTATGCAATTTATAGTTATAGATGGAACTTGTTCTAACGTTATGAGTCAGAGACGGTCATGATTTGATTGTCTTTCTAGTTTGGTTTTGGTACGATATTGACTCTTTACTCTTTTAATGGGGGAGTAAGCTATTTATAAAAAGCTTTGTTGACTAAAAAAACATGCATACATTGTAGCAAACCCAGACTAAAAAAAACATGCATACATTGTAGCATACCCAGATTTCCCTATTTTTAGGAAAAAATAAAAATGAAGATGAGTTAGAGATGCTTTTACCATGTTTTCTCGAGAGTTTTTTTGAACGTTGATTTAATACGGTAAATGAAAAATTTGCGTGTCTTCTCCATCCAATAGGCAATAATCTAGATTGGTCGACTTCCAGAAACAGAGACAACTCAGACAAGTGATCACTGTTATTTCCCTTGGGATATGCAATAAGATACCTACATGTGCAACAGCAAACAGGAATAAAAGAAGCCACTAAAACAGAAGAGAATATAACGTAAACCTAACTTGGACAAAATTATCTTCTTACCATTTGCAGCCATGGACCACGAAACGATCAGAATAAAATTTGTCAGATTTCAAAGAGGAGAAATTCTTGATCACCCAAGTGATCTTCTTAGTAAATAGCTTCCCCATTTATCAAATTCAGATTCAAAGAAGATGAAGAATGAAAGATTGAGCTTAAGTCGAGAGAGAAAGATGATGAAAGATGTGAAAAAGTTTGTTATTCTCCTTAATTAACATTTACAATAGTGTACAATATATATAGTTGTATGGTTAAGATAACAGAAACTTAAACCAATACAAACCGATCTAAACCGGAACTATACACTAATACGCTCCCCTCAAGTATTTATCATTGGAGCCTATGGAAGATAAAGACTTGACAAAGAAAAACGAGAAAGAAATGAATGGAAAGGACCAGGGTGAAGTGGTTTAGTGAGTATGTCAGCAAGTTGATTGCCGGTGGTGACATGAAACGTTTTAAGCCGTCCTGTCTTGAGCTGATCTCGGACTGTATGACAGTCGATTTAGATATGTTTAGTTCGCTCATGGAAGACAGGGTTTGTGACAATATGTAGAGCAGACTTGTTGTCACAATAGAGGTTTGCAGGACCAGTGACAGTGATATGAAGGTCACGTAGAAGTTGTTGTAACCAAATCAACTCACAAGTCGCTAGAGCAAGACTCCTATACTCTGCTTCAGTTTTGCTATGGCTTACCACTGCTTGTTTCTTAGACTTCCAGGAGATCAAAGAAGACCCAAGATAAACACAGAAGCCAGTGATAGATCGTCGTGTCTCTTTGCAAGTAGCCCAGTCTACATCAGCAAATGCATTCAAGCAAAGTTCTGCAAAAGCTTAATACATCAGTCCTTGACCTGGATTGTTCTTCAAGTAACGCAAGACTTTATGTGCAGCTGGAAGGTGAATGTCTGTAGGAACTGATAAGAATTGACTAAGCTGATGAACTGCAAAATTTATATATGGTCTCGTGATGGTAAGGTAAAGCAATCTGCCAATAAGCTCTCTATATACCGTTGGATTAGGTAAAGGAGATCCCAAGTCTTTGGTCAAATGAAGAGATGGATCCATCGGTATTGAGCTTGGTTTACATCCCATAAGACCAGAATCTTCCAACAAATTCAATGTGTACTTCCTATGACATACATAAATTCCATCAGACGACTTTGCTATCTCAAGACCAAGGAAGAAACGTGCCTGACCAAGATCTTTTATCTTGAACTCAGAGCGAAGTAAAGATAGCAGTGTAGCAACAGCCTCAGAATCATCACTAGCAATCAGTATGTCATCCACATAGACAAGGACTGCAACAAAGGAAGTCGCAGTCTTCTTCACAAACAGAGTATTGTCTGCAGGAGATTGAATGTAAGTAGCTCCCAACAAGACATAAGAAAATCTTTTGTACCATTGTCTAGATTCCTGCTTGAGGCCATAAATGGACTTCCTGAGACGACAAACTGGATTAGGAGGAAAAATAACACCAACAGGAGGAGTGTATCCTTGTGGAAGACGCATATATATCTCTTCATCAAGGTCTCCATGCATGAAATCATTGGATACATCCATCTGATTCAAACTCCATCCTTTGATCGCAGCTAAACGAAGAAGCAACCTGACACTTGTTAGCTTTGCCACAGGGGAGTAAGTATCAATATAATCAATACCCTCTTGTTGAGTAAAACCCTGCGCAACAAGGCGACCTTTAAAACGTTCAACTGTCCCATCTGCATTATATTTGATGGTAAATATCCATCGAGAACCAACAACATTCTTCCCCTTAGGTAATGTAACAACATCCCATGTTCTATTTTGTTCCACATTCAATGTCTTCTTCACTTATCGGATTTCATGGCTTGTTGAAAAGTCTTTGGTTCTGTCTCAATAGAATATTGAAGAACAAAGGACTGAAAAATTGGTTTTAACCGATCATAAGAGATGACATAAGAAATAGGATAAAGGGTTTTGAAAGAAGATGGAAAAGATGGAGAGGGAAGTGAAGTAAAAGGGATCAAACATCAATATTGCTGAGAAAGAGGTGGTTTATGAAATGAATGAGGTTGTCGTGGTAAATGAAGTAGGCTAGTTGAAAGAGAGGACACAAAAGCACAATGATACTGAGATAAGTAAGATGGAGCTTTAGTAGTCCGCTTTGGCCTAGACGTGTTCACCTGTTCAATACAAATATCCTCTGTACAATCCCTATCATTGTGTTCATAACTAGCAGTGTTTGAATTTGGAACTACAGGATCATGTATAGAACTAGAACACTCAGTCATAATAGGCATAGATTCAACAAAGTGAAGAGGAACATGTAAAGGCAATATCGTATTTGGAAACATGTCAACAGATTTAGGAAGAATCTCTGATTTTTTAAAAGGAAATTCAGTTTCATGAAAAACTACATTACGAGAAATTGTAATAGAATGATATTCTAAATCCAAAACTTTATAGCCTTTATAACCAGATGGATACCCAAGAAAGACACAAGGTTTTGTACGAGGGGTAACTTTAGTTCTATCTTTGATATAAGTGGAAACAAAACATAGACATCCAAAGCTTTTCGAAAGAGTATTATCTGGAACTTTATGCAGTAATTTTTCAAACGGAGGTGTATTATCAAGCAGTGGTGATGGCATTCTATTAATAAAAAATACTGCAGTCATGATGCAATCACTCCAATATTGAAGAGGAACATTCGATTGAAAGAGTAAAGAACAAGCTACATTGAGCAAGTGTTGATGTTTTCTTTCAACAACCGAGTTCTGTTGAGGGGTATATGCACATGAAAAAATAATGAAACATACCAAGTTATTTTATGAGATCAGTAAATGCCAACTCAGGTGCGTTATCAGAACGAATATCCTTAACTTTGGTATTGTATTGAGTAGATATGTACTTAAGAAACAAAGGAAAAATTGTAGAAACTTCACTTTTATTTTTCATCATATAAACCCATGTCATTCTTGTACAATAATCAGCCAAAGTAAGAAAATAACGGTACCCTTCAACAGACTCAACACTAAAAGGATCCCATACATCAAGATTAATCAAATCAAAAGGAAAATCTGCAAGATAATTGTGAGAAATGTAAGCTAGACGCCGTTTTTTTTTGCTAATGGACATATTGAAGACGGAGTAGCATTGGTGTCAACATGCTTATAAGCCAGTAAATGAGTTGAAATCTTTTGCAAAACAGAAGAAGAAGGATGCCCAAAACGTTGATGCTATAATATGATATCACCAGAAACCGAACCACAGAACACAGTACTACCAAAAGAGACAGGACAAGCAGTATCAAGAATGTATAAATTGTTGATTAAGCTACCCTTCCCAATCATCAAGCCCTGAAAAAGTTCCTGAATTAAACAACCACTAGGAAAAAAATGAGCAGCACATACCAAAGTTTGAATTAAACTGCTAACACTTATCAAGTTGAATTGAAAATTTGGAACTAATAAAACATCATAGAGAATTAATGAAGCAATAATTTTAATTGTGCATGTGTGTGTGATAGGGACTCGTAAACCATTAGTTAAAGTAACCGTAACAGAGGATACTAGTATCAAACTAGTAAACAAACCTATGTCAGAGCAAACATGACTAGAAGCTCCACTATCTATAATCCAAGCACCATTAGGCAAAAAAGAAGGTAAAGTAGAGAGACAATGGTTTTGAAAACGAAGGTTATGATTATCAAATCTGAGATTTATGGAAGGAAAGGGAATTGTACCAGCCGAAGAATGAGGATCCATGATACCATGTTTAGTTATAGTTGCACGTTGAGAAGAAGCACAAGAGGAAGGAACTTGAGGCTCTGAAACTCGAACATGAGCGTTGAATTGTGTAATCAGACTTTGAATTTGCTGAGGAGGAAAACTCTGTAAGTTTAAGTTCATGCCTCCACTAGTCAACTGAGGTAGAACCGGTGGCATAGAGTTGTAAGAACTTGCAGTGTTGTCAGTACACACAGTCGCTACAGCATTAGAAACTGAAGATGTAGCTGGAGCAGAAGCTTGAGCTGCATACTTTCCTTGAGGCTGGGTATTCTTGGTAGGGTAAGAATTCCTTTTATTAGAAGAACCATAACCCATGTAACCCGGAGAATATCCATGTAACTTGAAGCACTTCTGAACTGTATGACCAGCTATCCCACAGTGTGTAGACATAGGCCTTTGAGCAGCTCTCCATGCATTATAAGCCGCAACATATAGAATCTCATCAACATTAGCAGACTTAACAGTAGTCTGTGCTTGAAAAGACACATTATCCACTGGAGTTGGAGGCTTGATAGAACATTGACGTTCATCATGAGTCACAATGTTGTATGCTTCCTCAATGGTTGGTATAGGTTGCAGCATCAAAATGTGTTGCCTTGTCTGTTCATATGACTTATTCAATCCCATAAGAAACTTAGTCACTCGACTACGATGTTGAAGATTCTCCCATAACTCAGCTGCATCACACTCACATTTACCACAAGTGCAAATCGGAAGCTCAACAAAATTACGATGTTCTTCCCACAAAGTAAAAATCTCAGTATAATAGGTAGATATATTCTTGCTCAAGCGTTGTTCAATATCATATACTCTAGGTGCATCATCTTGCTTAAACCTAGAAATCAGATTTTTCCAAATCTCTTATGTACTAGATATGAGCAATAAGCTTTGCCCTATCTTCTTCGATACTGAATTCATCAACCAGGTAGCAACAATATCATTGCCTCTTGACCAAGCTCCATAGTCACTATGCGCAGAAGAGGGTTTAGGTATTGTACCATCGTTGAAGCCAAGCTTATTGCAAACATTTAATGCCATCCGAACAGAACGTCTCCAAGAATTGAAATCTGCTGTCGTCGTCAATCGATCCGTGACAAGAACCAAACCAGCGTGATCATTGTGGTGAAGATAAAACAGATTTTCGTAATTACTCAAGACGTTACGGTTTGATTCTTACATTGCCGGAGAAGAATTAGGTGTCATGATTGAAAAGAACACAAGAGAACGATTCGAAAGATGAAGAATCAAGAAAGTCAATTACGAAGAAGAAGAATCGATGTGAAGAATCACAAAAAGACACAAACGATTAATCGAACAAAGAGATCACAAATTGTGAGAATGAAGAAGTATAACAAACTCGAACGAGAAGCACTCATGATGAATCAAGCTCAGAGATCGAAGCGGAAGATGAAGATTCTTTGCTCTGATACCATATCAAATTCAGATTTAAAGAAGATGAAGAATGAAAGATCGAGCTTGAGTCGAGAGAGAAAGATGTGAAAAAGTTTGTTATTCTCCTTAATTAACATTTACAACAGTGTATAATATATATAGTTGTATGGTTAAGCTAAGGGAAACTTAAAACAATATAAACCGATCTAAACCGGAACTATACACTAATACCATTGATACGGATTCCTAGTAAATCGAACTATAAGAGAATATGATGATCCCTTGAAGAGAACAAAAACCTTATTGAAATTGAGATTAAGATTCGAACATGGAACCAAAGCCTTTATGAGTTTGATTGCAGCTGTAAGAATATTCTTTGCATATTGCATATCCTTTGGAATTACTCACTGGGATGCGAAATCGCTTTAGCTCCCTACCCCTAGGGTTACTTGGAGCATACGCGTTCTGGATTCTAACTTTGATCCCAAGGTTAACTGCCTATTGAGGTGGGGGTCCAAACTCAATAATTAAAGGCCCACATTAAGAAACACTTTTTAATGAACGTTATATATACAAAAATAAGAGGGTTACGTAAAAAGACATATTGTGTATTCTCTTCTCTTTACTTATAAAGACACATTCTGATTTTAGGACACTTTAGTTTTACAGTTGTGTATGTTTGAGACAATAATACCCTTAATTGATTTTAAAGAAGAAAAAATCTAATTTAGTCTGGGAAATTAGATGTCGGTAATAATAAATTATCTTGGACTCTAGATTACTGTAATAAAAGGTAGATCTAACGACTGAAAATATGTTGGTAGATGTAATTAATTAATGAAGATAGCAATGGTCATAGATATTTAAGCTCTGTGATATTTGGTTGGAATCACCATTACATGTCACATACAGTATAACCTCTTTAAATTAATAATCTATAAATTAATATCTCTATAAATTAATATAATTTCATAGTCTTAAACAGTGTTTTAAAACCCGACCCGACACTGAACCGGACGACTTACCGGGTCATTGGGTCACTGGGTCGACCGCGGGTGAACCACGGGTTAATAAATAAAATTTTATTATATAATAATATATTAGCTATGAAAATAAAAATATAAAAACTAAAGTTAAATATTTTCTAAATGTTTTAAAGCATAAAATGTATAAATATACAAGATATCAAAACTAGTTTATACTATCTAATTTTTTTTCTAATAAGTTAAGAGTAATGACATCTAAAAAATTAAGATATAAAATTCATAAATATTTAAGTGTCTAATGAGAATAATAAATTAAACTTCAAATACAAAATAAACCAAAAGTAAAACATCATTGTAAAAAATTATCAATAACAGAAATAAACTAACACCAAATTACATCAACTAATTTTGGTTCTCGCTACCATCCTTTAGTTCATTTTCTTAAGGTGGTATAGTGAAATCTTCATCAAAATTTAAAAATCACACATAAAGTAGTGTAGTAGGTATTATGTATTATAAAAAGTTAGAAAGTTTAATCAAATTTTAAAGAAGAAGACGGCAATGCCAATAACTAAAACGTGAATACGTAACTTTTAAATTAGAATTTAGAATTTAAAATGGAATAAAAATATAATTTTAAATTAAAAAAAAAAAAGTAAAAGTTTATTTATTGGTTTAACCAGTGGTTCAACCGGCATCGGGTTTTGGGTTTTAGTGGGTTTTTCCGGGTTTTCGAGGGTTTTTAAATTTTGGGTTTTTAACAAAACCCGAACCAAATTTATTTTGGGTCACCGGGTTTACTGGTTCAGCCGCGGGTTCGGGTCGGGTTTCAAAACACTGGTCTTAAATTGAATTTTTGGTTTAACTAATATCTCGATAAATTAATAATCTCAATAAATTAATAAAAAAATTTAATTTTGGTGTAGTCCCAACATTATTAATTTATAGAGGTTTCACTGTATTTGGATGGTGAGGATATATAGTCGGTCGATGGTTGGTGTTTTGTGGATGGATAAAGATGGAGGTCGATGGTTGGTGTTGTGTGGATGGCTAAAGATGGATGTATACAAACAGATGCATAGTAGTATGATACACGAGTGCTTAACCAAGTGAATTAGTTATGTGATGTGTGACATAATAAGGAGATTGGAGGATATAATAATGAGTTAGATATCTTTGTAGGGAATTTTTTGTGTGGATGAAGAAATGATTTGGACGAGGCCATTGTGTATAAAACACTAGTGGACATAAGAGTAGTGGTGGATGAAGGATTTGTGGACGAAAGAGATGTGGACAAACTGATTATGGATGTACCAAATCTGTGTACACGATTTTGTGGATGGAGTTTTGTGGATGAAGTATGGATGTGACTCAAAGTAGTTTCGTGAATGAAATATAAATGAAGAGATATGCGTTTGATCTTAGATGTGAGATAGAGTAGTCAGAGTGATCGGGGTTTGGTGTTGGGAAGACAATGTTTTCTCTAAAGAAGATGGTGTATGAAGAACACATCAGTTTCTGGAAAAAAAAATCTCAGAATAACATGATTATCTTGGAAGTAATGGAGAAGATGACGACGGATTCATATTGTAGAAGATAAGAGATAAAGATAAGAGATTGTGTCTGATATTGGATTAAGAAAAATGAAATCTGGGTAAAAAAATAAAATGAAGAAAAAGAGAGAGATAGGTTTTGGTTTAGTTTAAGGGTAAAATAGACATTATATATACTAAAAGTGTGCTTTTATCAAGATGTGTTCTTTTGTGAAATTGGAAACCAAGAAAGTGTCTCTCAAGATAATTTTCTCTAAAATAAACTTGATGATTAACTTTCTTAACCACAAATACAAAACTAAGATATTGCATTTATCCTTAATCTCTTAGACATGATTTGATAAGTAATTTAGACATGTATCACTATTATATTCATTTTTCACCAAACAATAATGACATGACTTTCAAAAATAATGGCAGGACATCAATTTAATGCGACGTGTAAAATTTCTTTATTAAATTTTATATTTTATGGATTTTTTAAATAAACTATTGGCTAATAACTTTTATACTCTCATGATTAAATAAACTTTATGTATAAATAGTTATTTTGGTAAGATTTTTGAAATATATTAATAACTAATAAATTATATATCACCATTACGTTCTTTAAAATTTATTTTCTTACTATTTTAACTAAAAAAATCTAAAACTTATTAAGATTTATATATTTAAAATAGAATTATTTAAAATTAGGTATGAAAGAAATAACTGAAATAAAGAATCATTAAATAAAATATAAATAAAAAAATATTTTTATAAAGTATAATTTAATCTCTATTGAAATTTAAATAGAATAAAATTTTAATAATTAAACCAAATCAAAAGAAACAATTTAAAAAACATTAAAATTTTTCTTTTACTAAATATATAAAAATAAAATATAAAAATTAATAATGTCACAATGTAAACTATTTTTTAATAGTAAAATACTACTATTTAAAATTATTTTTTTCTGCGCATGACGCAGAAAAACACCTAGTATTTAATAACGTAATAACGACTTATTTCTTGTTCATCCGATCCACGCATTGAGAAAAGTGGACAGAAACAAAGCAAAATCTTAAAACATTCTCATGACAGAAATATTCCCATGATTTAGTTGTTACTTGAATCATACGTCAGCACTTTTGTATATCCCAATGAATGCGTCATTATAAATACTGTTACTGTTTGATAGTTTATCTCTATCTTTTTCCATATCTTAGAGATTGTATATTCTATATTCTACAACCATTGTGGACATTTCAAGTCATGATTGTATTTTAAGAGTTCTCACAGGAACAGACCAGAACCAAACTCCCAAGTGCATTAAGATCTCCACAACATTAAACAACATCATCAAATGAGAGAGGAGCTTTTGCAGCCGACATCTTCACCTTTTCTTTCTCCACCAGAGCTTCCATGTCTGAACACTTCCGCTTCAAGTCCCTCAAATCTTCCTCCATTTCTTGCAGCCCAGATTGAGAAGCTTTCTCATTATTCTTCTTCTCTGCCACCTCATCAAGCTTCTTCTCCAACCAATCCAACTTAAATCCAGCATCTCTCATGAATCCCAGTGCAGCATGAGCATCAGACAGATCATCCTGAGAGAGCTCCTGCGGTGACTGGCACATAGTCTCAATCAGACTGAGTAGAAAACTTATGTATGCTGTCCTTAGATTTTGGTTCTTTGGACGGAACTCAGATGCAAGCTCCGAGTGCTTTTCAAACATACGGCTCACATATTCTGCCTGTGAATATATAAAACTATATCAGATTAAAATAGCTTTGCGAGATCATTAAGACACCACCATATTAGGAATAACAAACATTATATCTTTCTCGTGGCTTAAAATTCTACGCACTCACATGTGAAGGAACAATCTGAAAGCCATTAACATCCATTGTTTCCATTATTGTTGAAGTTTCCTCCGACACATCTAATTTGCCAATAACTTCAAGAACATCCATCTCAACAAATATTTTGAGATCTCCATTTAAAAGGAATCCGGAATCTTTGGCATGGAGCTTATTAAGAGGCAACATGGAAAGACGACCCCAGCTGGGACTTTTCTGCTCATACCACTGTTGGGATTCTGTAAAATCACAAAACATTATTCATAATCAGTTCATATACATTAAACAAAGAACTAGCTCATGTGGATATTGGCACAAAGACAATTATAAAATACTAGGCTGGGCATTCGGGGTCCCAATCGGATTTCGGTTTTGTCCAATCGGGTTTCGGTTTTTTTTGGTTCATCAAAATCAGCCCCATTCGGATTATTTGAAAGTTCGGTTCGGGTTCTATTGGGTTTCGGTCGGGGTTAGTAAATCTTGAAAGAACCGGTATAGCCCGTTGTAATTTCGGGTTCGGGTCCCAATCGGTTCTTCGGTTTAAAAATATCTGATTTGTACCTACTTTGTAACCAAATCATAAGTAAAGTCGGTTTTCGAATATAAAGTACCTGATTTGTAACTTTTTGTAACCAAAACATAAGTAAAATTGATTCAAAAATAAGAAAGAAACATCAGATATAATCATTCAAAATCAAACGAAAGATAAACATAGTTATTGGTAGAAAACAAACCAAATAAATGAAAGCATAAAACGAAAACCAAATTCTTAAGAAATGAGAAACATTATTAAAATAAAAACAAAACTTATATTTAAAAACTTCAAGCTTCAACTGTCACATTCAACCATCAACCGTCATATAACAAAAAATATTTTAGATGTTCACTAATATCTTAAAGTATTTTGGATACATATTAGGAATTGAGATCATGTTTAGTACATGTTTTTTTTGAGGATTTGAATGTTTCGGGTTCTATCGGATATCCACTTAGTTTCGGGTTCGATTTAGATAATACCCATAACCCAAAATACCATAAAACAAGATCCATTCGGTATTTATGTCGGGTTTCGAATCGGTTCAGATCCATTTTTATCGGATTGGATTCGGTTCGGATTTTCGGGTTCGGTTTATTTGCCTAGCCCTATAAAATACTATCTCAAACTACCCAACACAAGCCTTAAGAATACATAGAACTCAAGCCATAAGTAGCTTTGCACAACGTCAAAATAAATTTTTCATATCTTAACATTCGTTTTTTAAATCACAAAAATGGAGAGAGAGGAACTCATCCAAAATTTTAGGCATTTCCAATTTATCTCTATATTTTCTTATTAAAATTAAAACTATATCATAAAAATGAGTTTTACTACAGTACATGCGTCTTAGAGTCGAAAATAACATTTATCTATATTTTTCCTGTAGAGAAGCCGTATTATACATGTATATACTGGAGTAAACTGAATTTTTAATAAAATCATTCTATTTTTCTAAGAAAAATTTGAAGATGAGTTGTTGATGCTCTTACCATGATCTTTTACTGAGAGTTTTTTCGAAAGTTGATTTGATACGGTCAATGAAAATTTTACGTGTCTTCTCCATCCAATAGGCAATGATCCATGATTGTCGACTTCCAGAAACAGAGACAAGTGATCATTGTTTTTAATTCCCTTGGGATATGCAGAAAGATACCTACATTTTCACCAACAAACACGAATAAAGAATCACTCAAACGGAAGAGAATATTGGACGAAGACATTACAAGGCAAACGTAACTATCCTCTTAAAAAAAAAAAAAAAAAAAAAAAAAAAAAA